ATGAATAATTTGACCTGTAGTAACCTGCTCTACAAATTTTATGTTATGAATGACATGGTAATTTTATTATATTTTGGAATATGTAACGACGTATGTACGAAAAATATGCATATATTCAATTGTTATTGATGCTTTCTTTTTTACTATTCTGTTTTTCACTTTGTCAATAGGAATTATCATTCTTCAGACAATAAAGTAATTTTTGATTTGATTTGATTTGATTTGATACTTGCTGCACTTCCCAAAACATTGGTTTTCTTCCTACTGGTCAGCAACGACTTCCGTTTTGACCCATAATGAATAAATTCGGCACAAGAAATCCTAAATTCAAAAAATCTCGATTTCAAACACCCTATATCTATGTAATCATTCCTGTTAGACCCCAAGTGTCATGAATTTATGGAAATGCAATGATATAAAGGGTTTTCCATTAATAAAATAGCAACTTTGATACATTTCGTGTTTTTGGCACACCCTGTACAACATGATTTTTTTCAAAATGTTGCGCTGATAGGTCCCTATTCATCCGAAAAAAAAACTGTCGAAAAACCAAATGCAAAATATAGTACGAGTCGTCAATGCCATATGAGTTATTTCATTGATGATGTACCATGTCGTCACTTTTACTTTTCCTCCCTTATACCACAGCTTATACAATGAGGCCTGTGAATGTATACTATAGGCGAATGCTGCAATTATTATTCGAGTGAAAATTAGCATTCCGTGCAAGTTATACACTATGATTTTTCTACGGCTAATCGGCTATAATAGATAACAGCGGCATTTTCGATTTCTTCGTCTTGTAGCCCTCTAAAGCTCATCTATTAGACAGAGCTGTCATTGCTTGAAATTTGACATTCTTGACACTATCTTGATATAATAACACAATGGAGTCATTGTGATATCAGATACGGAAATAAAATTGATGACATACAAAGTACCTCATTGATGTATCGAACACAGTAAAACAAGAGCAATTTCGTGTTATAGCCGTAGAAAAAAGATATTTTCGAGTCATACTCAACGTTTGGATTGGATTCATCGCCAGATTTCGCCAAGAGATTTCTTATAATGCAATTTCACGTCGTTGAGACGTTCAATTATAGAAGCGTCCAACTAAGCCACTTAATTTTTAATCATTGCTGCCGTTGCAATTTTCACCAGTCGCAATAGAAAATAAAAAAATGCAAACGTTCTCCTTAGTTCCCCCCCTCTCCCCCTAATGCCACGGGTCGAGATGGAAGCTTAATTGGCACCAAATAATGAGTGGGCACTCGCCTGTTTCTTTTTTATCGCTGCTGAAAAGGCAGTTTCCAAAGTTTCCAGCGACTTTTCTCCAATGAAGTGGAGCTCTCGACGCTCCTGGCAAGGCCTGGCTGGCATCTTTCCACGAAGATAAACATTACTTCGGTTCTGCTCCGTCGCTAACAGCTAGTAACACGGTATTTCGATATTTTACAGGAGTGGTTCTCGTTTTTTCTTCGACGTTGTTTCACTTGCCCGAGTATTCTTGTATAATAACTCCTGTCATAGTAAAGAAATCAGAGACTCGCAAAGTTTGAGTCAGAGATGATAGTGGATATAGAATATCTCTATCTGGATACAATTTAGGCATAGACCAGTCAAGTCACACAGAGTAAAAAGTTGAGGAGAAGTAAAAAACAATCTTGAGGTTAAATCATATACATAGCGAGGTGTTATGAATATTTTGTCATTTGCAAGTGCTTTTGGTATGTTAGTATCAAGCAGTATTGGGATGTGTAGCAGAAGGATAGATGAGATATTTGAGAAAAATCAATGGACTTGACTGCTTTACCCATAGTTTTTCAATTTTTGGGGGTGAAATGAAAAATATCAATGAATTTCATCGGCAAAAAATATTGTTTTATAGAATTTCAGAATGGAATATACAAAAACAATGTTCAATTTCAAAGTTTTTGTGAATTTGGGATTTTTATATTTACTCATCATCACTAATTTCTAACGTAGAAGTGTCTTTGTTCTCTGGCAAAAAACTCTGGTGATGTTCTCTTAGTCCATCATAAAACCATTGATCACACTAGGGTCATAACATGATCAATTTTTTTTTCTTTTGGAGCTTTCAAATTTCATTGTACAAGATATCCTCAGCGTTTGGTAAAGTGGGGAATTGAACATTCCTCTTATCTCCAAACCATCGAATATCAATCTGAAAGTTGATAATCGATGCTCAAACGTAGTGAATAAGATCATTAATACGGTTTCGCTACATAATATACCAGTATTTTCTACTTTTTCTCAGTTTGGCTATCTATAAAAGCATGTTCTTCTAGTTTTTTAAACTACAATTTATTATTAATGTTTGCTTAGCGCCCGAATGAATCCCCTGTACGATACTTCCGCACACATGCCCACATATCCATCAGCGTTCACGGGTGATGACCTAAACCAAAAATCGAATCACGTACCGAATCTCAACGGGGACCACGTATACAGGGTGTCCGTTTTTCGAGCTCCACCACGGGAATCTAGTTATCAAAGTAAGTTATGAACTAAACAAGTATAGGACTCAAATAAATTCGAAAGAAAATATGAATTGCTCATGATACCTACTTAGATTCCAGGTTTGCACTGGTGGAATATAGAAATGCAACCAATCTGTATCTGATGCATCTCATAATATTTGGAAAAGTAGGAGGAATTCGTGAATACAGATCGTGTTCATATTTCACGAATTTCAAAAATAATGGGTGAGTTATATATCATAGCTAGAAGAAGAACATAGAATACAATTTCAAAATGAGTCAGGAAACTTCCAAAAACTACCTATTACTTTTCAGAATTCCTGTAAGAGATCACCGTATTATGCAGAAATCATATAGCTAAGCTAGGTATGGCTGGATTTATAATAAGCAGAATCAGGGATAGATCATTTTCTCTGTCTTTTGTGAAGATTATTTAGATGATTGTCTTGATAATTCCAGGCAAAATAGACATAACCTCAAAACTCCTAGAAAATAATTAGAATGTTAATATACAATATTCTTCAGATGTATTGAGTAACATTAAATATACGTTATGAAGTAATATTGATTTTATGTGATTCCTGATATATTTATATAATATTTACCATCAACTTCACATTGTGATATTTGAAAGAGGCACAAAGGCCTATTCCCGCAACGTATCTGAGACATTAAGCATCTCTCTCAATAAGATCACAAAGTAACAATGTAATATTACATTTATGTTCAAGTTCTGCTTTCATGTTTAGTGGGTTTGCACTAATTTAACCCTTGATTACTCGCGCTAATTAGTTCGAACTTTTTCCCGCGCGGTGTATTTTGTACACCACCATGAATGTGACTTGTTTTTAGGTGAAACAAAAACGTATGCTTTCCTAACCCCGCACAAGTTTCGACTTATGGGGCATTGGATCCAGTGCTGGGTCCAACGAGGAAATGCAATAAAAAAAAGTCACTATGTTTTTAGTGCGTCCACATAATACACAACTAACGTCTGTATTGTATTCTAGGCACCAACGGGCACCAACGTGACAACGCGTCAAAATTTACGTACAAACACACACACAAAACTGATGTATCACATCCAAGACATAGGTTAGGTGGGAGTCTAGAGCCACAAGAAAAATTCTACGTTCGATGGTAGCAAGAAATTTGGCGCTGTGTACAAAATACACCAGCGCGAGTAATTAAGGGTTAACCAACCTCGTATATCTTATAATAACTGAGATCCCCAATGGTGAATCTCGAAAAACGGGCACCCTGTACATCCCCTCTGATACCCGCCCAATCAGCCAAAGTACGTCTTAAAGGCGTCTTTAAGACGTACATTTTCCACTAATATGTACGTCTTTAAGACGTCTTTTTTAGGTGTTTTTGGTCCATGACCTCAAATTGATCTTTCAAATTACGGAAAAATCACATAGTTTCAGTTGATTTTCACCTGTGCACTGAAGTTGCAAGAAGTGCAAACAACCAAAAAAAAAAAGGAAATAAACGACTTCATCAAACGGTGGAACACAAGCGGTCACCCATTCAAGTACTAACCGCGCTCTTTGTTGCTTGACTTCGAATATTATACCATATTCACTTCTTCTGTTACTCTGTTTGTTCTATATATCACATAACAAGCTTTTACTTAGTTTAACATGTCCTTGTGTCTGTATGTAATAAAAACGTGCAAGTTAAATTTGACTCACTTTAAATCGTCCGATTGATTTGAAATTTGGCAAGTAAATATTATTCCGGTGACAATTCGTTGTGATATTATTATTAAATGGAAAAAACAGAATGGCGGATCCAATATGGCGGACGATTTTCTCATTGATTATGTTCCGATTCGAATCAAAATTCAATATTCAAGATGGTGAATCCAATGTGGCATATGGTTTTCTGATTATGGTCTGATCTGATTCAAAATTGGCATCTGAAGGAATTCGGGATCAGAGATTGTAATTCCTTTTGTCGAAAATGAAAAATCCAAGATGTCGGCTTCAAAATAGCGGACGAGTTTTGTGATTATAGTCCGATTTTATTCAAAATTGATTTTTATGGGACTTTTGGGGTCGGAGAAAATGATTTTTTTGTAAAAATTCGAGAATCTAACACGAAGGCTCCAGAATGTCGGACGAAAAAATTCATTACTTTTGTTGAAAATGAGAAGAAACTGAACAATTGAAAATAAAAAACGTGAAGAGATGACATTTTGTTTTTCTTCAGAAAATAACTTACATTATTGTTCTATAAGTCGAATTGACGTACTGGAATGTACGTCTTTAAGACGTCTTTTATACGACATGGGAGGAACGACGTGGATACGACCTTAAATATACGTCTTAAAGACGTAAATTCGTGTACGTCTTTAAGATGTACATGGATTTACATCTTAAAGACGTACTTTATACGTCCCTGGACGTGAAGACGTAAGTAAGTCGTAAAATGTACGTCTTTAAGATGTCTGGTGCTGATTGGGCGCTGATCCATTTTTCTCTGTTCCAGATCATTCCCAACATGTTCCACACGTCGAGCATCTGGCTGACCTTGGCCTTGGCCGTCCAGCGGTACATCTACGTGTGCCATGCACCGCTCGCCAGGAAATTCTGCACCCTGCCCAACGTGTACAAGTGTCTGGGCAACATACTCTTTTTCGCGTTCCTGCACCAGGGATTCCGGTTTTTCGACACCGAATACCGAACGGTACGTACTACCACAGTTATTTTTATTCCTTCCGATATACTAGCTGCTGTTTCGGTATGCCAGGTTCCATTGGTCGCCCTCGGTTTAATGCCACTGGACCGACTGATTTCTGCTGTATTATCGAGGGTGATACCACAAGAGCTTTTTCATTTTGCACAAAATCTTGGTGGCATTGGTAATTGACGAGAACAAATAACATGATGATAGTTATTCATAAACCAAGGTAGTTAAGATTATCATTATTACCCAGGGACCAAGATTATATCCCCAGGCTCCAGTATGAGGTCCCGTATTAATAATATTCTTTACTACCAAGGTGTACATTAATTTTTTTCACGAAATGCAATATATTTTAATCATTATCGTTCTGTGAAACTGAAATATAGACCTATTGCCACTATGAAAGCACTTTTCAATTCCAATTAAAATAATAGCCATGACTATCCCTGATAGCACACAACGTCCAATGGACGTCCCTATTTGGTACAATTCACGTCTGAATGTCCCGAACCAAAAATAAGTGTCCTTGGGACGTCCCATCCCGTACATCTCATGCAATGTCCGAGCAAGGACGTCCACGAAATGTCCCAGCTGGTACATCATTCCGAATGTCCTAGAAACAGCATCCCTTAGACGTCCCACGTGGTACATATTGTAGAATGTCCATGCATGGACGTCCTTGGCATGTCCCAGATGGGATATGATTTTAGACGTTTCCTTAGGGACATCCATCGGATGTCCCGAGTAGTACATATTCTGGCATGACTCCAGATCCTATATAATGTTCTTTCTAGATAACCATGAAATGTCCCTGATGGTACATTTCTTCAAATATCTGCACAGACGCCCTTAATATTTCCAGGATCGTATAACAATCGGAATGTCCCTTATCCTTCGAATGTCCCTTAGGGATATCTGTCGGATGTCCCAATTGGTACATGAACTGTACTCTTCCAATGTCCTAGAAATAACGTCCTACGGACGTCCCAGTCGGTACTTTCAATATGTTGTCCCTGCGAGGACGTTAACTTACACCTCGCCGACGAATGATTGCTCGTAGGCTATAAGTACTCCTCGTCAAAGTGCTTCATGTATAGTGCATAACTTTGCGGTTATCGAAATTATTGAGTTATATTCCAAATTCAATTCTACCTGTGAAACTTTTCTGTGTTGTCTGTTGTTTCTCTCCTGAAATATTACGCTTCATTACCACTGCATAATTATGCCATTATGTCTTCAAGTTTTTGTGAATTATTCTCCTGCTACCTACAATAAGCTATTTTCTGTATTTCTTGTAATTTTGAGGAAAAACTTTAGCCAGCAGAGGGTGATTCAGATGAACAAAAACGTACCATTCAAAACTAATGAATTATTTATAAATTGAAGAAGAAAACAAACTAAACAGTTTGGGAGTAGAAAAATTAATGAACACTGTGTTACATAAAATATTTCGGTTTTGCATAAGGAATTGGAGATTGTTTCAAATGAACTGGTGAAACATAAGAGAGATTTTTAAAATGTTGTTTTTCATTTTAGGTCTAGATTCTGTATACAAGTCGATTATACCTACCTGAATTGAGGCATATTATCTCTGAATCCATTTTTTGAATTCCATCATGTTTGTCCAATATAATGAACACTGTTGTTGGCTTTTGATGTTGTGTCAGTTCCGAAAAATGAGCCAATAAGACCGTCTCTGAGGAAGAACTGCAAGTCCTTGTAATCTTCCATTTGACTTCGCAGTTTCGTCAATTACTAAACAATTGCTGAGTTCAGAATTCAATATCAAATCACAGAATCAAATTGACAGATATTTGGTTACTTCAAAAAGTTTCCATATATAGCAACAAAGATGCCTGCAACGCTGGTAATTGCTTATTGTCGCTTTAATTGCAACAGTCAACCAGTTCTAAACTCCAAATTTTACATCTATAAATCAACTCCTACACAAAAAAGCTATTTGAGTCAGTTTGACATCGATAAAAAAGGATACACCTCGTTACCAAGAGAAATTTATCCGATATTTGTGTCAGATAACATTCCAAAATGCACTTCTTGGTATCAAAACTAGCAAAAATCAATTGAACTACTTCTCTTTGGCGTTATTTTTGCTAAGAATATCTAACTAAGAAAATACCATCACCCGATCAGACAGCTGAATTGAATGATTATTTTGTGTGCCATGTGAATTTTTTCACATATCCATCAATTCCTCCTGGTATTGTTCTGTTTCCAACAGAAATCGACACTAAAACGAAAGCGGAATCAATATTCGACAAGCTCGAAGCCATTGGGATGTCAATCGGGGTGTCTATTAACTCGTTTCGGTAAATAATGGTTCTCTACCGAGATTGATGGCAAGTCCAGAAATTCGAAAGCCTTCGACAGTCAGTATATCGAACCTTCGCCAGATTTGGAAACTATTGTCAACCCACGCTTGAAGGGTTATCGAAAGGACTGAGTTCAATCACTGTTGTTCTTCATTTGATTATGCACACTATGATTATCATACATAGCGTTTACTGCTTATATCTTGTTAGAAATGATTATAGCACTATATATCGATAGTAGATGAGATATGAGAGTTCTACGACAAAATTGGAGGCGTGGTCGAGAATTGGCGAGGCGTGGTCTAGTATTTCAAGGCTGGCCAACCACGTCTCTATCGCGCAAACCAAAGAAATATCTACTTTTCCACCAGAATTAGCTATATTATGATCGTTAATAGTCGCCCAGATGTATGCAGCATATTTCACAAACTCTCGTCGTTCATCGAATCGAATGAATTACATAGTTCAAAAATATTCAGCCTGTTAAGTATCGAGAAAATACTATGGGGATGATTCTGTTCTTGAATCACCATATCTTATCTACTCAGAGCATATGTTTAGGTGGAAGTGTTCGAATGACAATAATAATAGCTTTCTCGATGTGTCTTATATGCAGATGATAAGTTTACGACGAGTCGCTACTGCACTTACAACCATTTTCATTTAATAGCATGACGTCGTCTTCCTTGGTGTGATGTGATTAGTGATTTACTCAAGTTCATTTTCCATGTTTTAATGAGGTATCATTACCGCATGAGAAAACTTTTCCGACACGGGTACTTATTCTGCAATAGTGGAAAACAGAGTTTTATAAATAATAATTATCGCGAAATTCTCTTCCTGAGGCATTCGATCTGTTTAGTTCGTTTAATGGTATTGCTCTCGCTCGAGAAAAGATAGCCTCAGTCTCTTCTCTTCTATTTACACGAGCCACGTGCATTCCTGATGCCTGATGGCATTTTGAATATTTTATTTTCTGAGAATTTGTGGAGTTGAAAGCTTATGCACGCAGTTTCTTGTAAAACCTGAACGGGATGGGGGTACTATCGATTCATTCACAGTAGCGCATTAAAAATACCGATTCTAGAATCAATCAACCGCACTCATTCCACTTCGGAGAAATTAAATGAGATCATGTAATAGGGTGTTCTAGAAATCAGGACAATAAATGAAATGGGTGATAGAAACAGAAATATTTTGTTTCGCAGCTGCGTTTGAGGATCTCTCCCCAGAGGTTAACGAACAGGAATTGGGTCTAGTACACATCCATGTTAAAAATGATATTTTGGCGAGTATCAGGTAGTAAATATCGATGTTTCCCAACATTGTAAAACCAAAGTACCAAGCAGTTCGATGTCGATTCTCTGTGAAGACGTAATAAAGTGTTTATTCTGAGTTTTTGTACGAGATACATAATAATACTCCAGGCATAGATTCAAAGAACCTATGCTCCAGGAAACAATTTACCGCAACTTATCGAAAAATCAACGTGAACAAATGTTGGTCCCAGAATAATACACAGTTTCTAATCTTTGGAAGAAGTCCATGGTAACTCAAAGAGGAGTGGTGTAGTAGAAATATGAAAACCCAAAGTCTTCTCCATAACATTTATTGGAATGATCGAAGATCAATCGTGAAGGAATATGTTTCGGGCTCATATAACCCCATCATCAGCCAATAGAAAGTATCTTAGTTCTAGAAAATCGGTATTGACTTAGGATATAGATGCAACAGTGTTTTTTTTCGGTTCCATCATCCAGTGCTTTTTGTTGTATAACATAATGTTTACGACTTGTGACATTTCAGTTTCATTTGTGCATTGTGCATGTGAGTGTTGGGTATTTTATGTATATTCTCTAAACTGAGATGTTGGTTCTGGTACTATAGCGCGTACTAGAGGGACTCAAATCAGTGCTTCCCGTTGAGTTGAATCATTTTTTTTAATGTCGATAAGCTCTGAACATTTCTCATTCCATTTATTGTGTCATCATGTGTTATCAAACACCACATTCAATTTATTGCTTCAATTTCGGAACCCTGTAGGTAGTGCGGTTTTCGAACTTGGTAATTTCAATTACACTAACGTACCTATATACTAGCAGGTTGAAATTGACATGAATAATCTACAGATATATTGAGTAGGGAAACTGTTGTTTGGCATCATTTTAACAAATTATAGCGAATATGTCTGATATAACAGAGCACATCAACCCATTTTGAAGTTGAATAAGAATGGAAAGTCGGTTAATGCTGGATTTTAGGTCCATTTTTGCATCACAATGTGCATCCAGAAATATTCCTCCGCATGAGAATAGTGGAGTTAAGGAGTTATGATACTATCGACTTCTGATTCAAACAATGATTAATATGAATTCAGTTTCGATGTTAGCCATTCTGTCTTGTACGATTTTTCCTTTGTGAGAAGAGTGGAGCATCTCAAATTGTTTGCGAATATTCGATAAAGTATGCATCTATCAAGCTTAAAAGTGTCAGGCGGGAATCGATCGAACATTTCGAGTGTTTCCACTCCATCTGCCATCAATTTGAGAGGAATCTGGTATCTCGTCATTTTTCATATCGAGAGGAAAGCGGGATGTTATAATATAACATATTATGTGATAAATTTCGTTCTGAAGGTAACGACGAAAGTACGTGAAATGGCGCAAATGT